GGAGGGGTGGGGGGTCCTCTGAGCAAATAGATAGTTGAAAAATATATTTTGGATTTTGATAAGGCTTATGACTGAGGATTATGACTGAGAAAATGTTGTTAAAGATAAAACCGGGTATGGAAATATCTTAGAAGTGTAAGAACATTAATAAAAAATTGGAAAAGAATCAAGGAATTTATGTTATGGACTTCTGATCAGCCGTATTATCCTTTAGCAGTATCTAATAAATTAGATTCTTATACTCTAATCAACAATAATTAAATTAGTTCAATGCATCGAAAACTAAATTGATTAATGATCAAAACGCAGCTCAAACTGTAAGAATTATGATTTAAAAAAAAAACATATTGTTTTTTAGTTAGTTAGAAGACGTATTTTGACAATTCAACGAACTAATTTAAGTAACTTTTCTAGTAAAAACAAAATAAAGACAATTTTGTTAACTATAAAATAGAGAAAAAAAAAATAAACCAAAAAAGGGAATGCTCACGCCTATTTGATATTCCATTAGTGCATTTTGATGAGTAATCCTTTTGGTTCTTGTACAGTTACATACAAAAGAATGACTCGCTCACTTCTCGTGGCGTTTAAGCAATGGCTTTAGTTTTGGCTAATAGTTCATGATGAGTGATGCATTTGATAATAATGAAAGCCACAAAGAAATCCAAGGAAGGGTTCCCCCTCTAGGTAGATAACTAACATCTACACACACACACACACACCAGTGTGCTGGCAGGCTTTAGAATATCATCACTGCGAATCATAGTTTGTCGAATGATGCGACTGATATGACACGGGGAAGACACTACATGCGAAAAGTCCTTAATCGTCATTAACATGGCAATGACCAAGTCGATTCTTGTCCTGAGTAGTGTAAGCTTGCCGAAATGACTGATAGGATAATGCTTCTACCGTCTCCGTCCTGTTAAAACTTGGCAAACCTCCAAGCACGTGTTCTGGTGCGTCGTCATTAAGTTGTCGGTACAGGTTCCGGCAGGTTCCCTGCATGCAAAGATAACCATGGGATTATTACGTATTTGTGCAGCGACCAGAAATAAAGACTTGGAGCTTGGACCCATTAAAATGAGTAACACTAATAGAAATTCACAAACACAAACAAAAATGAGGGTGGCGACGCGTTCGCAAAACGTGGAACGATGTTGACATCTCCAGTATGTGTGGCAGCGCCGCGCCAATCTGGAGAAACCAACGGATAAAGAAATAAACCTGGCGAAGCAGCATAGCATAGCGCTAAGCGACCTCGGCCAAGAAATTACGAAGCTGGTGGAGATGCTAGAGGATGGCAAACGGCGCACTATTCACCAACTGATGCGGAACTGCATCTTCTTAGACCGGCGGTAGAAGTTAAAAGGAAATAGGGTGCAGGAACACTCCACGGTAAGAGGAGTAAAAGAGTAGCCGACTCGGTTGCTCCCACAGGGAACCAGGCTACGAAGGAGGTCAAATCCGTTGGAGAGGCACAATATAGGCGAACAGTGGAGGGAAGTCATCCCCAAGAAGATGTCCAGAAAGCCAAAGATATCAGGAATCTGCAGGAAAAATGCGCGCCCAGACTCCATAGCAATTGCGGCAACAAGTGAGGCTGGTTATGCTGAGATACGCAAGGTAAAAGCAGACGATAAGCTGAGCAAGTTTGGGAAGGCGGTTACCAGGATAAGGACTAAAGGGGTGACCCAAAACGGTGAAGTACTGCTGCAACTGGATAAGCCAGCAATGGATACCTCGACCTTGTGGGTTATACTCTGGGTGAGCAAGCAGAGGTTCGGTGACCACGTGACATCGGATCCAGGAATCTGGATAAGATCACGATGAAGTAGGATATTCGCGACGCGCTGCGAAAACAATTAGTCTTGGAGATATCCCTGGACGATATCAATACGATACGGGCAGACCCAAGCAGCAACGATTAAGCTACCAGCAAATAGCGCAAAGAAAGCGTTGTTGGCGAACTCGAGAACAGGACAGGTGAGCTCTGGACGTAATTCGAGTACCACCGTATCTGTCTAGCACTGTATTCAACTACCTATCCGGCAGGATTTTGGCGTATGATACAGAAGACGACCCAAGGAGTTACGCGGTCACAGCAGAAGATCCACAGGGTTCAGTTCTAGGCGCACTGTTGTGGAACATAATGTACGATGAGGTACTTAGGCTCCAACTACCTCAGGGTTGCAGCCTCATAGGCTTTGCAGATGACCTGGCACTAGTCGTTGTGGCCAAGGAGCACAAGGTGGTAGAGACGGTAGCGAACGCGGCAATAAAAATTGAGGCATGATGGATGCAGGTTGCGAGCTTGGAACTTGCCAGACATAATACAAGCAGTAAAGCAATTGAGTACATACAGTGCAAGCCAGTAACGACGTTGTCTAATCTAAGGAGTCAATAAAATACCTGGGCGGCATACTGGACAATAGCCCTGCTTCCGGCCCCACATCGAGTAAGTCAGCCAGAGAGTGGCCAAAATGCAAATTGTCCTCTCGCGTATGCTGTCCAATATTTGGGGCCATAAACCAGGGAGACGCCTATCGCTCGCGAGAATGGTAGCCTCCATCCTACTGTACGCGGAACCGTTTTGGGCAACGGCAGTGTCCAATAAAAAAGGGCTGCGAAAGAAGCTCTGCATCCTACTAACTGAGTGCGCTACGAGTAATTTCTGGCTTCCGCACGGTCTCGGACGCAGCGTCAATAGTCCTGTCAGAAATGGTTCCAGTGGACGTACTAGCCAAGGAAATGACGGAGATTCGTACTAGAGCGACAGCAGCGGCGGACGCTATCACAATGGTGACCATTTGAAGGACAGTGAGAGCAGCGACGATGGACACCTGCCATGAAAGATGGAGAGCGGCGAGGAATGGAAGATGGACACATCGGCTAATCCCTAACCTAGAGGAGTGGATAGGGAGGAATACAGGTGCAGTAGACTAGCATCATTCTCAGATTTTTAAAGGTCACAGCGGTTACGGGAGTTATCAACACAGATTTAGGCACGAGAACACCCCTACCTGAATGCCATCGAAAATCCAGAACATGTGCTCTATCATTTCCCGAGATTTAGGGGGCTACTACCTCAGGGCCCCCACCGAAGACCTTAGTCCAGCACAGGATGGAATCTCCGTCATACTGGAGAGAAGTCCGCAAGCTCATCATAGGCATACAGGAGGATCTGAGATTATGCGAAACTTAGCGGCGAGTGACGGAGAGTGCCTGGGCAACTTATCCCGGAAGTAACACTTTACGGTGATACCGCGGGGGATTGGGGATGTGTGTGGGGGATGAGTTTAGTACGAATGCATTGATGTTGTCTTTGAAGCGTGCATGTAGTTAGCCCGGGCCTTCTGTATCTCCAGGAGACTCTCATCTCCAATGCGTACACAAAAAAAAAAAAAAAACAGAATTCAATTTGTCACAGTGGTTGGCAATACTAACGGTTAAGCAATACCTAAAGCTAATGCTAAAGCTGAAGCTGAAGCTGTTGAGCTCACAACGATAGCCGTCAATACCGCAAGCTGCAGACGAGATGCAGAGATAAACTTGCCTGCAAGTCGGAAAATATTTGTATTTCGCCTGCTCTTTGTATGGGGTGTTTGGAACGGAAAGGGATACGGGGCCAGGGGTATGGCTACGTTTTACCGTACGGTTACGGTTGAGAGTTGGAGTTGGAGTTGGTAGCTGTTCCCCGTTGCGTAGGTAAAGCCAAAATCCCCATGGGACTTGTTAATGCAAACAATGCGCATTTGATATTGAAAACGCGCGTAAAACGTATTGGATGAATTTAGTGGTTAGGTGGCTGGGTGCTTGGGTGGTTGTGTGATAGAGCCACCCATTGTGTGGCTGTCGCATTCGGGGTAGTTTTTATAGGGCTCTGGTTTCTGTGAGCATTTGTGTATGTGTGTGTGTGTGTGGGGAGGGGTTCAAAATGCTTGCCAAAAGCCCAGCATCACTTGCAACCTCACGAATTTTACTAAAGAAAGTGGGCAGAGAGGGAAAAAGCTGTCTATTTTGGGGTTGTGTGTGTGCGGGGGTGTGGGGGGGGGGTGTCTAGTGTGGAAGCGGACAGCGTACGCAGCGTTGCATTAATGCGAATTTCCGGGCTCGGAAGTCGATTTATGCAAGTGCTGGCTACGTTTCTGGGGACAGTTGGTGACAACATTTTGTTGCTCGGCTTATTGTTGGTGTCGCTGTTGTTGTTGCTGTTGTCCTTGTTGTCATTGTTTGTCCGCAAAAGCCGGTATTGTTTGTGCTTGGCTTGTTCGTCGCTTGTTTGCCCGCATGTGCCAAAAGTTTTGGTGTCTGGCCGAAAAAAAAAAACTAAGTCAACCCAAAAACCCCAGCTACAAGGAAGTAAGCTAAAATGCAAAAAATAAACACGAGTCTAAAGTTACAGACGACAACTTTTGTAACCGGACTGAGCAATGCACTGTTCCCAGCGTAAAAAGAGTTTCAACTTGAGAAACAGATAATTTGAACTACAGCTTTCAGCATTTTTACTTGAGAAATAGATAACTTCAACTGCAACCTTAAAGATATTTATTGACTTGACAAACAAAGCAAGCAAAGCTTCAACTGCACTTTTAAGCCTATTTTGCCTTGAGAAAAGAGAAGAAAAATTCAAAGGCAGCTTTATAGATATTTTGAAAAAGCAAAAATTCAAAGGTGTGAAATCAGTTGAGAAATTACGAAATTTTACTATAGAGTTACATAAAATCGGTATGCCCAATTTGCACAGTCTGAGCATAGGGCATTAAAAACTGTTGTGAGTGTGGCATTATTGTCATGTTGTCATGTAAATGCCGCACGCGTTTAAATGCTTTAACTGGCTTCTAATGAGGCGCCTCCTGCCCGAGGCAGACTTGTGATATCTGCTGTCATCTGGCTGGCTAGCTGGCTGAGGATGCTACCCTTGTTTTAATATCCTGCATGTCCTCTCTGTGGTTAGAAGTTGGGACTGTTGCTCTGTCAGAAGTCATTTAATGACTTACCTTATCTTCAGCTTCCTCAGCGCGTTCTTCCGCTTCGATGACGCGTTGTTCGAGCTCCGTTAGCTGCAAGTACAACAAAATTGAAGGGCGTATAAGTAAATGTGTAACAGAACAAGAGACAGAGAGATACATATATATATATATATATAGAGAGAGAGAGAGAGAGAGAGTGAGAGAGTGGGTGGGGGACGGGGGAGAGAGCGGATCAGATTTTCAAGTTACTTAAATGGAGGAAATGATGTGCAAATAATCGAGTTGCCAAGTTTATCAGCACATGCCACATAAATTTAATGGGTCAAGTGACGTTCATTTATATGTTTTTGCTCTTAAATATTACAGTCTCAGATCTGACAGCAGCCAAAATAAATACAATTACAATTGGAGCTAACAGCTTGTCTTTGAAGAACACTAAGACTAACAGCAAATTTTCGAAACTAATTAATTTCTGTTTGCGGCACAGAATCAATTTGAGTTTGTGTTTCACTCAAAGTTAAGTTGGCAAGTTATTAAAATATTTATATTTTTTTATAGTCAACAGTTTGTGTTCAAATATTTAAAATATACATTCAGTGGCAGCTAGAAGTTATTAAATTATTTCATATTTGAATGTTGGTCAATAATATTTCACAAGGATAAAAACTTTGCAAGCAGATAGTGCTTGTCATATATATGATTATTTCACCACCACGACAATTATCAAATTTAGTGTTGATAAACAAAATAAAAATATTAAGCAAATGATCATCTTTTTCTTTATTGCTGATAATTATCGATTTAAAGATTTTTGATTGCAATCACAGCTCAACTAGGGTAAGGGAACTGTTAACATTCAAATCTTACGCCTACCACTTGTCAAATTTTTAGTAGCATTTTTAAAGCTCTTGTGGAATGCACTTAATTTGATTTAGTTTCACAAATTTCTGTCTAACTCCATTGGAGAAGCTTTTGCATTAAGCTTAATTGTAAAGTTCACGGCGCAACGGAGACACGCACCAAAAAAAATCCCTGTATTTGGTAAGTGGTGAGATTTGAAAAAGCTTTGACCACAGCAAGTGTGTTGAGTTGCGCTTGACAAGTGACAGGTGGCGCCACTGGTGCTGTCCCTTCACTCTGACCTTATGCAGCATCCACATCACTTATGGAGTCCCACTCCCATACCCACACCCACTCACTCATTCAATCACTCAGTCAGTCAGTCAGTAAGTCAGTGAATTAATCAATCAATCATAGCAAACAATGACAAACGATTTGCGGTTAGTAAGGATAACGCGGCATGTGCTGCTTGGCAAGTCGAACTTTATAGCTTGGACGACGGCGCCAAAATGTCTGTCGAAATTGGCAACACACAAACAACACTACACATTATATATTATATAACACTGGCCATTTCCTTTTTTTTTTGTTTTCTTGTTATTTGTTTTTGGCTGCCACACCTTGCTGCACGCCATTGCCACCACTTGAGGCAGCCGCAGGCAAGGCAAGGCTAGGCACTGCCTACCCCTACCACGGGTAGGCGGGAAGGCACTTGTCAGAGCAGGTCGAGGAGTTTAGTTTGCTTGGGGTCAGGTCACGTGGCTTTGACTAGGCGGAAATGCTAATCTCGCACTTTTAACTGCTCAATGGTTTGCCATTAACACAGGCCCATAATGGATATAACGGATATAAAGGATATATAGGAGGCAGGCAACCACCTCGCCTCACTTTGTGGGTGTGTTCTGCAATGGAGCACTCTTGGAATGCCATCAATTAATCACAAGAGTGGCCCGCGAGACGAACAACCATCGACGTTCATGTTAAAGACCTGATTCCGTACTAAGCATTCTATCCAACCGCCCAACTCAACCACCCACTTGTGGGAGGAGGCAACCCACGATTTGAATGCTTTGAGTGCATTAATTTTCGCTTTTTATGGCATTTAAGTGGCCATTCAGAGCGTGAGTGAGTTTTGAGAAGCGGCTTCCATTGATTGATGGCTGCCAGAAATATTAACGCCGATGAACGCCGAAATATGGCATAAGCATGCCGCAAATGGTTAAGATAGAGATATAGATAGAGAGAGATAGAGATAGAGAGATATAGAGAAGCAGATAGAGAGAAAAAGGCAGAGATAGAGAGAGGTGCTAAAATGGGGCTGGGTTCGAGTTGAGTGCGGTTCAAGGGCTGCTTGAGAAACGTTATCGTCTCCATTAAAATGATGGCAAAATGTGAATTTAATGGCTGTTTAAGCCAACTAACGTCCATAAGTCGATAATGATTAAGATCATCATTCTAGTGGCAAGCAGTTAATGAGGCATTGTGAGACAAGCAACAAAAGTGTTGAAAATACGTAACAGATCAATGCATTTCGATAACGTATTAATAATGTTAATAACCGATAATAATCGATACCCCAACTACCACCTTTATATATGAGAAATATCGAATAATCTTTCTTCTTTGTCTAACAGTCAAAACCAATAACATCACTTTGCCGCTTAAAATCCCAAGTAAAGTGTATATATTCTTAATCAATATCTGTAGTCCGTCCGTTTCTTGATGAAACTTGGCTCTCTGGCCGTCAATTTACTGCAGGCAGTTTGAACTGGAAGGATCGGATCACTATATCATATAGTTTTCATAGCGACACAATCAAACGATTTAAGAAATAGTTTGTTATATATATACATATATGTATATGTATATGATATAATTTTCAGGTATTCCTAAACTTACTTTCTTTTTTTATAGGGTAATATGCAAAATGCACAGAAATGAATACATTTTGGTATTTACAATGTTTTAAAAATAAATAATATACAAATAAAAATAAAAGCAGGACATTTTGAAAGTGAGCAAATTTTCACATTACGAACAAGAGGCAGGTCAATTACATGAAATGAATTTCACAATATTTCAATTATACTGTTTCCACACATGCTTAATAGCTCATAGCGAGAAACCATTAAGAAAATGGACAAGTGCGTCAAGCGAAACAGCTGTCAATCATTGTCAATCATAATCGGTCATATAAAACTGTTGCACTGTTTACAGCTGCACATCAGTTGAGTGGAGGTGATTGGAAGTGGATTGAGTGATGTGCGGAAAACTGAGCAAGCTCCTTAGCTGCACTCCAACGGTCAAGCAGGAGGAAGACCCAAAAGAGTCGATCACAATTCAGTTCAATTATTTGGTGCCACTGAGCATCTGAGTGCCAGATCAATACCAGCCGCTGCCGCCGCTAATTTTGCCAATTGCAATGGTCAAACTTATTATTATAAATACACACACATAAACGCTCTATAAGGGATATACGAGTATAGCAGAAAGATGCATGAAGGCCACGTTAGGCTATTAAAGAGCAACCTAATAAAGCTAAACAAATGCCCCAAATGCCAAAATATTGATAAGCTGGTAGGGATGGGGGTGGTTGTGTGTGTGTGGGGGGGGGGGGGGGGCGGTGGGGGTGGGTGCTTGAAAAAGTTGTAGCAGCCAAAAAGCAAATGGATTAGGCCAAAAAGTGCGAGCTGGTCGAAAGTTATGCGAGGCTTGCGTGCGTGTAGGCAACCAGGCAGCAGCAGCAGGGGGTAGCAGGGAGTAGAAAGTAAAGCAAGTAGTAGCAGGAGCAGCGGAAGCACGAAATCAACTATACACTGAAAAACTATTTAGCGTATTCGCAATCTGGAAAGTTTGGATATGGACTAAATCCAGAAAAATAAAGGTTATCTTAGGCAAGCCGAACTGAGTTAATCCTTGCAGACAGGAGTTAACATCGAAACATTCTTATTTTTACGCCATAAACAAATTTGAGTTATTTGTTTTCTGTTTCACATCTGAATACTGCATATTTGTGTAGTTATTCTGTATCGGTGAGAATAACATGTATTCTTATAGATATCAAAATGCTACTCACTCATCTTTCGATTTCCGATTTCTCCCATGGCAGCTATGTTATGATATAGCTTGGCCTTTGGCAAAGGGCCAAGTTTCAACATGCTGACTTTAATACTGAGCGAGCTCAAGTTATTCGGAAAATCGGTTTAAGAAATTTGGACGGACATGGCTTTATCGATTTGATAAGTGATGCTGATCAAGAATAGATATACTGGATGGGGTCGGAGACGTCTCTTTAAAAAGTACATACTTCAATTATTATTATTATTATTATTATTATTTTTATTATTATTATTATTTTTATTATTATGATCTTTTTTTTACAAATCTTGTTAACATCGCACAAATTAAATTAAATAAGAATTTCAAACAACGCTGTCAAACAAAAAAAATATATATAATTATCAATCACCAAATAACAGTGTCTTTTATTTCAACTTTAAGACATTATTCAGACATTGGGTGTTGGGTTCTGTCTTTTCATGCACATTAATGAATGTTGCATGAATGTTGTGTGAATTGGCTTTTTTGAAAAACACAAAATGTGTTTAGACTGCGAACGCCCTCCGATATATGTATCAATATAATACAGCAGTGGCACAGTTTAAAGTGATACTAGATTTAAAGTCGAAGCTTTGTGACGTGGGCTTGTATTTTTATTTGAGTGTAGGAGCTTGAGGGCAATCAAAGTAGGGGAAGCAGGGGCAGCAGGAGCAGCAGGGGCAGTTGTCAAGGTGTGTCTGACCCCAAATATACACACATACACACACACATAGAAAGAGAGAGTGAGGGGGAAATTGACGCCTGCATCATTTTAGTTATAGGCGCTACTGTTGCCAATTGGCAAGTTAATTAGAACTTTTGACCACGGCAACAGCACAACAAAAACACCGTCAACGATTTTGGCTCTAAGCAGCTGCATTTCGACTTAATTGCATGGTCGTTCTACAACTTGTTGTTGTTCTTCTTGTTGCTCATAACTGGCCCAAGTTGAAGTTTACAGTTTACAGCCGAATGGCAATCACAAATCTCATTTGCCAGCTACGATTGCAATTTGGGAACAAGCAAATTACCGCAACCGGAGGACAGAGAGGCAATCAGACAGACAGACAGACAGGCCGACAGCTCGTTTTGCTTGATGCAGGGAATTATACGGTCTGTGTGGCAAGTCAGACATGTGAGCATGTGTGTAA